GCCTCTGTGTGGAAACATTCTCGGGCTCACCCTGCCACAGAAACAACTCCCAAATTCTTCACTTTGTTCCCAGAAGCGAAACCTTTCCTCTGCTTTGCTACTGGGAATGGTCCGAGAAATGACAGCATTCCCCCATCCCGTTGCTCACTTCAGCAGCTGAGCCCCAGCTTCTGCTCTGTGGAGAGCAGTGCTGTTAGGCGAGGTTTGCTCTAGAGGCACTCTTGTACTTTGCACTCCTTTGGCCTTAGCTCAGGCAAGTTCTGGGAGACCTTGCAAGCCGTTTGCTGCCTACGAGCCTGGGCCCAGCACCGCTGCCCTGCATTTAGGTGGGCACTCGCCAGAGCGATTCGGCACTGCGAATCCAGTCACCCCTTCTGCACCGACCTCAAATGCACGGCACAAGCCTGAGGAGCGGATGCAGAGACAGGCAGGTCAGAACTGAGCTCGATTTTCTACCCAAACTGGCCTACATTCCCTTAACGCAAGAACAGCAGAACAGAGAACTCCCAGCAGACGAGAACATCTCCTGCTCCCCCACCGGCGTACGTCGTCAGTGCCTTAGGGCACGGACCAGGGCTCCAGCCACAAGCATTACAGTAACTGGCAGAGCAAAGCCCCAACCCAAACCTGGCACTGCTGTAGTAAGAGCTGCCACTGAAACCCTGAACAGCACTGAGACCCTAAAGAAAGAAATGCTAAAAGGAGGAAACAGCTTTTTTTTTTTTTTTTTTTTTTTTTTTATAAAATGTCATTAAGAGTGCATTGTGACTCTGATAGTGGAACGGACTGATGGAGCAGCGACGGCATCTCCTAACTTCTAATGCCATTGCTTGTTTCCTTTCAAACAAACGGCAAGGCAGCAGAGACGCTTCAAACATTACACAGCTTAAAAGTAAAGACTGCTGTAATTTCAGACGCGAAGTACAGCAGACTTGCCTCCTCACGACACAATCATTAATGAAATAACTTGGGCATGTCTGTCAAAACGCAGGAGGCATCACCTCGACCACGAGAGCAGGGAGCTGACGCAGAAAAGCGAAACGCCTTGGCCAAGATCCCACGGCCAGCTCGCGGAGCCGACCCAGCATTCAGGTCCGCAGGTGAAGCACGACACTCGGGCTACGGAGCATCGCAGCGACGAACATTTGCCTTCCGAGTGCTCTGACAGTGGAGCACTGTGAGGGGAATACGGGCTGGCTCTGCAAGCCAGCATTACACCAAGACCTCTGAAGAAACACAGAAGCCGCTGACGTATTTAAAATGCATTTTCCTCTGCCCTCCTTGGAGATAAACTGGCTGGAGAAGGTTGCACCCAACGTCCATCTTGCTGGTCTCTCTGTTCTAACTGTGAATGTCGTCTAAGCATGAGGCAATGATGTAAGAATGCTGCCCAGAACACCCCTGCGGCCCCCTGCAGCACAGGATTTTGTAACATTTGAGCAACTCCAGCTTCACCTGAAACAAGACAAGGAAAAAAACCATAACCATTTCCCAGACATAGGCTGCGTAACCAGCTAGGGAAGAAAACAGCGCTAGTTCCAAGGTCATGTACAAGATGCTCTTTAATCTTGGTAAATGGCATGAAAACACGGCAAGCTTGACAGCGACTCAGCTTTTGTATATTTAATACAAAATCCTGGAAATCCGAAAAACACCGTATAGCGCTGTTCCCTGCAGTCAAGGTAACGGCAGTGCTCCGTGCCAAGTACAACAACAATCTGCTCACCCATCGAGTTCCAGTTTTAACCTACTGATTTCCAGAAGACTTAAAGTCTCCTCTGCCCGTTTGTCATGAGATAGGTTACCCAGGTTCAGTCTCTCCTTATGCCTACACAGGCAGTCTTTAAAATATTTTAAACAAACAAACAAACAAAATATCCTTGCAGATGCAACTGACTGCATCAGAGCTTAGTAATAACAAATTTTTTGTCGCCAACACCATTTATTTTTTTTTAAGTCTTTCCCAGCAAATGTTTTCCACCATCTCTCAGCTGCTCTCAGCATGCCCTGGAATCTGCCTACACTCCCATTTCTCGCTTCTGGTACAGGATGACTGACCGGACTATAAAAAGGAAGGAAAGCACTGCTCCCCAGGGACACCCGATACCGTCTTTCCTTTTAAAGGACTTCTGTTCTTTCAGCTTTTTTAGGCTGAGCGGGGAGGATTTTCTGCATGAACACAGGAGGTGGACTCAGCGGCTGAAGCTGTATCGAAACGCTGAAGACACATACTCAACTCTTCAGAACATAAAAATTTGATACAAATCAAACACAAGGGAATCTTTGGGCTCTCTTGGTTCATTTTACTGCCACCCGAAGATTGGCATGCACCTGATTTATCCCCTGAGTCACTGGTGGCTGTAACTGGGCTACTTAGGAAATAAAGTTCTTTTTTTAAGAACCGATTGTGCGTCCTTCCTAGCAGGCCAGAACCGGGCTTCAGCAACAAGAAAATCTTTCCCTGTCTGGAAACAACTGTCCTGACATCCCTAGGCTAGATTAAATCAGCATCTGCAGTGCTCTCCTAAGTCTATACCTGTCAGTTAAAGAGATGATGAGCAAGGACCAATTCTCACTCATTTTCCACTGAGATCCTGATCCCGTACTCTCTCGATGGCAGAGATTACAGACATCACCCAGTGCTCTCCGGGTACCAGAAGCTGCATTCACACAGGCGCACGGAGTGGAAGCATTCAGCTACCAGCACGCTTACACCGCTGGATCTTGGCAGAAGCTGGATCTTCATTACAAACCGCTCCCGTCTGTACGCACTGCTGCCTCACCTGCTACGAAAGGCCCGCTCTACTTAAAAAGCAATGGGAGAATGGGAAAATCTCTCGGTATAAGAGACAGATTCTTAGGTTAATGTCACTTCCACATAAAGAAAAGCAGGTCCTTCCAGACCCTGCGCTGATCTTTTGCAAAGGTGCCTCTCCACGGTGCCAGGACAGGGGAGTACTATGAAGACTGAGCCTTGGGATCATATGAGTAGCAGGCAGATCTGGTTTAGACGTCCAGGTAAGGCACTGAAAGAGGGTCCTGTCTTTAGGAAATACAGTTCTTGCATAACATCTTCTACTGCACAGCATCTTTCCACCATTCTTAAGTTTACAGGAGATTTGGCACAGTTTTTAGCCAGTTTTAGCCTAAAAGACTTTCCTACAAGAAATTGAAGCGAAACTCTTCTCGGGAAGTTTTGAATTTGCATGAGCCGGTGTTAAGTGTCCTGGGTGACTCTGAAGGGGATCCTGCGGAACCTTGGCTTTTCCTGCAAGCTCCTGAGCACTTCCGGATGAACCGGCAGTTCTTGTTGCAGATGCTTCTCTTCACTGCCACGACCCTGGCAGATTTCACAGCTTAGAGAGGGGAGAAAAGAGCAGTAAGAGATGTTCAGTCACCTCACAGAGTGAGGTCCCACCCTGCAAAGCAATATGGAGGGCAGGAGAGAAGCCCTTTCCTCTTTGCTTCCCCCAGCACGCAGAGTTCTCCTACCTGTTTCCATGAGCTTCAGCTCTTTGCATCGCTCCTCCTCCATCTTCTTCCTATAGTCTCCAAACATGGTCCTCATGAGCTGACGCTTCTTCACCAGTGGAGCCTTGTCACCGCGCAGCGTCTTGATGGCACGCAGAGCCTCCTCGACTGAAGCAGCGCAAAGGAGAAATAACACACAGTTTGACTCCCCACGGGCTCCACACCTGCCAACCCTTCCCACAGGGAAGATCTCTCGTTTACTTGAAAGCTTACCCTGCTTTGGAGTGGGTTTCTGTGTCTTCAGGCCAAGTTCCAGCTGTTCCACACACCAGTCCACCTCCTTCCACAGCTGGTCGTCTGACTGCTGCACAACATGGAGCAGAGTGAGCATGTCAGTCAGCCAAAATTTAGAGCAGCAGTTGCTACACAGGAAAAAAGGTATCTACATAAAGTCAAGACTATTCCAAATGTCATGTTCTGGTGACCACTTCATAAGACTTCGTAACACTTTCCCTATAGTTCTTTTCACTGGATAAACTTAAAGCACTGAGAAAATGTTTAGCTGCAACTCACTGCCTCTATTTGATGGATTTGGCTGCCGTTCAGATGATGCACTTTTCCAGAAAGCTGTCCAGGGCTTTTCCTCTGAAAGAAGCTGTCAAATCAACTTACTGATGCGAGGAATAAGCATTAACAGCAAAAAAAGCCCTACCCCCAAACCTGCCCAAAATCAAAAAGCAAACAACTGACAAAATCAGAAGCCAACTCTTGGTGTCTCAGCTCCTGCGTGCTTGCCCTACCAGAAATGCATGAGAAGGGAGCTGAATCCTATGAAGACAGAAGAAGCCAAGTCGCATTGAGCAAAGCCAGCTGGCTAAGGGAGCAGTGGAAGGGAGAGAAACAGAGCCGCATCCTGGGACTGAAGCAATTCTTAACTATTACGTACACATAAACACAAAAGCCCTCATGCTGTCGTCGTCTTTTCCTTACAACAGTCTCCTTCCAATGGACTGGAAGGGCTTTGCATCACCTTCCAATCTTTCTACGTTGCTGGCACTCAGAAGTGTTTATTGGTAGGGTTGCTGGGGAGGCAGCACTTTGGATGCAATGCTTCGAGAGGCAGGTGAACACGCAGCGTCACTTCAGTGCAGAATATTAACGAGAGCAAGTTTTTTGTAATTTTGTATTTCACTATTGCTCAGCTTAGAAAACCTCAGGGTGTGCCTTAATGTGCCTTAACACATCTAACCTGCAGCCGTGGTCGATTTCTGGGCCATGCCTTAGAGTGGGAACCTTCTTGGAATCACCCTTAGGCTTCGCACCAGACCCTGCCGCAGCCTTGGCTACAGCACCCAGCAGCTCTGCACCTCAGCTTTGCTGTTTGCCTTAAGCGAGCAATTCATCCTACCCGTACCACGCAAGTCAGGGGCGCAGCGCCTGGTTTGGCACGCACAGAGACCAGCTGGCCCTGACTGAGGACAGTTACCTGCATTTTTTATTTTCACTTTTTTAAGATGGCAGTCAGCTTCCCAGGATTAGCCGTCACAAGGCTAAGCAGGAAACGTTTCAGCCCCAGTCTGAAGCAGACAACGAAGGACCATTAACTTCCTTTCCACTAGTTCGGTGCCTCAGCTGTCTCGCAGAGAAAGAAAAGAGCTGCTGTAAGAAATAAGCAGCAACCTCTGTCTTCAGCTTTCATCTCAAGCCTGCATGCTAACTGCTAACCTACCCAAAGAGACAGAGTTTATCTTTTGCTCAAAGGTTCATGAACGATGGGACCCCACCAATATTTAAATACCTGAGAGGTCTCATCCTGGTGGGGCGGGCCTTTATTCTGACATCCGTTAGCTTTTGCTGTTGCCTTCCTGTTGACCTCAGTTTCTTCCACCTCCTTTTTACTGGCAGATGTTTTTTGTTTCTTCTTTTTCTTCTTCTGGGCAGCTCCATCTGCTGTTGATTTCTCTGTCACCGTCGCATCTCCAGGAGCAGTCTCTGGTTGGGGCATCTTTAACGTGACATGGCTTCTGTCCTCTTCGGATGCACGACTTGCAGCTTGAGTCAACTCAGGCTTCTGCAAGGCTGAGGTCTGTGACACACCTGCTGATTCAGCAGGCAGTGAATTACCCACCACTTCGGGACCTGCTGTATGCTCTGTACGTTGGCTTGCTGGAACTAATGGAACGAGAGGATGGCCTTCGTCTAGGATTGCAGAGTTGAAAGCAAACTTGGATTCTTGTCCAGAGGCTCCATTCCAGTCCTCCTGCTCGGTGGCTCTTACGTTGGTTGGTCTCTGCTCAGCACCACTGACACCAGGGACTGCTTCCAGAGCTGTGCCAGTTGCTTCTGGGTCGACCTCAGAAAGCGTAAAATCTAATCGGAGGCCATTGTCAGATGACATGAACCACGCTGGCTTTGCCTCAGAGATTTGGTCAGATTGTTTCCCGTGTACCACACCTTCTGAAGCCTGCCCATTGCTTTGCTGCACTTCCACATCACCAGGTTGCACATCTAGAAAAGGCAAAGAATAACGTTTCTGTCAATATGCCGGCTTCCTACTACGGGGACAGCGCTGCTACTCCAGCTCCCTCCGTAAGGCACTGCCGCAGAGAGGCAATGCGATCAGAAGCTGCAGCGTAGGAGATCCACAGAAAAGAACCACGCGCCACCATCTCCCGGAAGGGACAGCTCGAGCTCACCTGCTTTCTCCATGCTTTTCTGATCCTCAGCCATCCTGAGACGGTAATCCCCAAACACACGGTGCATCACTTGTTGCTTCTTCACACAAGGAGTCTCATGGGAGCGCAGGACCTTGAGAACGTGCTGAGCCTCCTCTGCTGCCCTCCAGAAAAAGACCAAGAGAGACAAGAAACGGGTTATGGTGGGCCTCACAAACCGCGGCGTGGGATGCTGATGGCTGGGTCTCCTCTGAACGCGTTCTGTGTTCATACCACCATGACTGGCGTTCGATTGAAAGGGAACTCCAAGCGCTTCCAGAAGCTGAAATGTTCTTAAAGGAAAAACAAAATAATAGATCTTAACTGCTTATTATATAGGGTAAGAATCTTACACTGCACCAAGTGCGCTGCTAATGGCACAGAAGCCACGCAGGGCTTAGCAACCCTTCCCCCAAATCAGCTGGCAAAGGCAGGAGCCCAGCTTGGTGTCTCTTCTCTGGAAAACTGGAAAAAAAAAAAAATCTGAGTAGTGAGTACACCCTGAAAAGCAGGAGCCTTGCTTGACTCGCGTACAGACCGCCCTGACCGCAACAGTAACCCCAATTCTGTGTGTCAGAGCACGATCTCGCAAAAGCACAGCTGTTCTTCTGCGACAGCAGCCCCCAGAGGCCTCAGTCTGGGAACTCCAGATACGCACAGGCGTCCAGTGTTTGCCTCTCACATTCCAAGCCACAGAAAAGCTTGATGTACTACACTAGCACTTCGGAATGGGCACGGGCCCCTCTCCTGGCTGCGGTGCATCTCTCTGGGACTCTCCAAAGGAGGTGTACCCTGCAGATCCAACACCGAGAGTCCCATGCTAGGAACAGAGTAACGGCGCTCAAGGCAGCAGTGCCGCAGTGAGGCTGCAGCGACCTACAAGAGAGGGACATATCGTCACTGCGCTGAGCGTCAGGGTCCCGAACACACATTCCCCCCCCCTTCAAGGAGCTTAGCTGGCTGCATTCAAGGGCTGCTCGCTAATGAGAGCTGTAACGAAGACAGAGCTAGAAGAAGCTTCAGGGGAACCTCTCCCTTCCCTCACTTGGGAGTTATTTTAGGCTGAGGATCTCACACACAGAACTGCTGCATCCAGGTACCTCATTAATCCAGACCTTGAAGTCCTGGCTCGAGGTTGGATCTGCCTCACCACCGCAGACTTCTCCGGCAATCAGGACTCCAGGCAGAGCCTGGCTGCCATCAGCAGCGCTGCTTTGCTCTGCTGGGCCAGGTGCTGCGCAAACGGGCCCTTTTCTGGCCAAACATTGCCCCCACTTGCCTTGCCGCTGTGCTCAGCTCCTGCCTCACCTCCAGGAGCAGCCTTCCCCTGATGGACACTAGGCACCGGCTGTAACAGGCGCGGTGTGTGGCAAAGGCTGATCACTGCTACAGCCCCGGGTGCGCCAGCAAGCACTCAGCGAGGCATCTCACGAAGGGCAGCCGCTCCCCTCCTCCCAACGTTAAGTACTACCATCCGCAGGAGCGGGACACGTGGCTTCCTATGCCTACGAGGTGGACTGACTAGATCAAACTGTGGGCTTCTGAAAAGTATTTTACAGGGTTTCATCTTTGATGCAATGTCTCCTAGGAACAGGAACAGTGAGGAGCAAGCTTCACAAAAAATAAACCTACTGGCACTTAAGGGCCAGACACACCGACACAGAACCAACAACAAGCTGTTAGATGGGAAAACGTGAGAAAGAACAGAGGAAACCGGGAGAATGAGCATCACGGGAATGAAAGATAAAGTTGCTTCCAGACAGTTCTTAAAGTTCAATGCTTTATCTTGCCTTGCATTTAGAACAAACCCCATGTAACACAGGAACAGGAAGCAGATGGGTGAGAAGAAACAGCAAAATGTTCAGGTCTGCTAAATCAGAACGGCGGCTGGAATACGGCTGTGGACTGCGAGAGGGGCAACGTACCTTGCTTCAGAGCCGGGCCGAGGCGACGGAGATGAGCCTCCAGCTGCGAAATGCACCACTCCAGCTCATCTTGGAACGCGCCCTGGGGAGCCTGGGACAGGGCATGGGGGAAGGCACGATGTTTAAAAGCAGCACAAATCTCTCACCTGCAAAACTGATTCCAAACCTGAGTTTCTGAAGTCCTCTCCCCTCCTATGCGGGAGATCAGACTAAGCGGGTCATAAACCCCTCCTCTGGCTTTACACTGGAGGCGTGTTGTGCAACAGCTCAATTTATACCATAAATCGACACAGCGCAGGGCGGCACACAGGCCCCGCAATATTCCCTATTTGGAGGGCAGCAAATGAGCCCTTTTTATTACAAAAATCAGGGACAACAAACTCTCGCTAGCAGTAAGCCACCCACCCCTGGCAAGCCAATACTTCCCACGGATTGTTTTCTTTCTTTTTTCTCCTCCTCCCTTTTTAAAGGCCCCAAGTGGAAGATTTCTCATTTTTCCTGGAGCTTATTCTACGGCGTAACACGTCTCCGCAGCGGGAGATTTCCCTCCAGCACAGCTCCGGCAATACCCGGGGCTGATCCGAACGCTGAACACAAGCCCTCAGCACCACCCGTGCTGTATTTCCACCCCGCACGCCTCCCGCTCCCCAGCTGCAGGCAGGGCTCAGAAGCCAGCCTGGGAACGAGAGTCCCTACAGCCCATTAGGAGGCGGAAAAATCTTCCCTTAGCGGAGCAAGGAGGTGGCCAGGAAGCGGGGAGGGGAGGCAGGGGTGCCAGG